AGAATTCAGCTGCTTATCCTGTGTCGATTTACCTGAGGGAGAGACGTGTGACCAGACCACTGTTTGTCAGCCTGGTCATGTAAGTGTTTATTTATGTTTATTTTGTTATGTTTCAATCAAAAGACATTAAGATGGGTTATAACAATCAAGATTTTAACGGTTCTGTCACTCTTCCATCAATCTTTTATGAAAAATTAATTCTACCCATAAGAAACCTTGTTAATGACGATATTTTACTCATTTAGAAAAAAATCCACAATGCCATTGACCAATCAATCACTTCAATTCAAATTATGACCCTCTGAACAGGGTTCGACTCTTAACAAACTCTCTACATCCCATAATATTATTTTTATTTACAATCTTTAAGTTTATATGAATGTTTGTCCTTTCTTCATTTGATGCTTTTATTCATCTTGAATATCAACGAAACATTGCCACTGGATACCAAACACACATCAATCAATCAAACTATCTCTTAAAGACGGAGATATTGACAAGCTTTGATATAAAAATAAGGAGATGTGGAATGATTGCCAATGAGACAACTATCCATCAAAGTTCAAATGAAGTGGATGTAAGCAATTATAGGCAACCGTACGGCCTTCAACAATGAGCAAAACCATACCGTATAGTCGGCTATAAGAGGCCCCGACATGAAAAATATGAAACAAATAAAACTAACGGTCTGATTTATACCAAAACAATTTGTGAAAAACAAATATGACAGAGATGAACAAACAACAACCACTGAACTAGCTTGAACAGGCTTGAAGAGGTTTTTAATTCTTTAACAGATCATAGAGCAGTTTAAAGCAAACATCAAGTTTAACACGCTACTAAAGGACAAAAAAATTATCACTGAAAGAATACAAAATTTAAGCATTTTGGTATAACATAAACCATTATTATTATCGTTTGACCTAACGTGAAATAGTATCAATGCTCTTTGATCTATACAGTTTATACACGCCACGAAGACAGCAGCCCAAAGACACATCAAAACAAAAAACATCTAGAGAAATTTACATTATCATTCATGTAAGAAAAACTATATTATAAACGAAAGGTAGTTCAATTCTATGTTAAGGCTTTATATGATTTCAGGAACATTGTATGACCCAGTATCACTATGAAGAAGATGGTACCAAGTTAATTACAACCGGATGTAGTCACATGCATGTAAGTATTCATACTGTTGTTTACCGCTCGGAGGCTATTTTTTCTCTAAATTGTGTTTCTGGTTTTTTTTCTACTCGTTAATTTACATGAAAAGAGCTCTCAATATTATTTACTGAATTTCGCCTGTCAGCTATTCATCAATTCCTAGGCTACATACTTGGTGGTCATCAATACCTAGACTTCATGCTTGGTGGTCATCAATACCTAGACTACATGCTTGGTGGTCATAAATACCTAGACTTCGTGCTTGGTGGTCATCAATACCTAGACTACATGCTTGGTGGTTTTCTGTAGCAGTGATGCCTGTCAGTTATTCATCAATACCTAGACTATATGTTTGGTGGTCATCAATACCTAGACTACCTGTTTGGTGGTCATCAATACCTAGACTATATGCTTGGTGGTCATCAATACCTAGACCACATGCTTGGTGGTCATCAATACCTAGACTACATGCTTGATTGTCATCAATACCTAGACTACATGCTTGATGGTCATCAATACCTAGACTACATGCTTGGTGGTCATCAATACATAGACTACATGATCGGTGGTCATCTATACCTTGACTACATGCTTGATGGTCATCAATACCTAGACTACATGCTTGATGGTCATAAATACCTCAATACCTAGACTACATGCTTGATGGTCATGAATACCTAGACTACATGCTTAGTGGTCATCAATACCTAGACTACATGCTTGGTGGTCATCAATACCTATACTACATGCTTGGTGGTCATCAATACCTAGACTACATGTTTGGTGGTCATCAACTTTTTTCTCTTATTTCACAGATCTGTATGAACAAAGAAGAAAACAATGCAGAAGAATGCTACTGGGATGAGAGTGGAGATTTTGAAGGATCTTGTACCTACTGTTGTGAAGACAGTTTATGTAACACGTTAGTCTCGCCACAAGACGACGACGACTGTGGTGAGTGATTAAAAGTCAAAGTTCATCTAAACGCCATTCGTAAAACAACTTGTAGAAATAAAATATATGCTGTGTTACCATTATATTTTGAATATATCATGTTCAGGAAGGGTATTTGCGATACAATATACTTCCGAATATCAATAGAGATGGTTAAGTCAAACTTAAATGTAAATATATGCAAACGAAAACAACGGAATTTTACATTCTTCAATTTTAAAATAAGTTTTAGATTTTCAAATATTTTGGCCTCGATCACCACCAAAGAGACATTTATTATCGAAATGCGTATCTGTTGCAGTAAAATTGGTACCGTTAATATTATTTATATACGGTGTAATTATTAAACGATATCGCTGAGCTAAAAACCCAGTGCCGATCAAAATAAAAATGCATAAAGTAAGGGGAAACAGCCTCGTACACACCCTTACCTTAATTCTTAATGGCTTTTTATTTGTAAAATGAATATGAAAGGGTTATAATTATCAATATTTTAGTTTAAAAACGAAAACTGATTGAAATGTATATATTGGAGTTTTGGCCCTGGGAAAAATGCCTTGTAAGTACTTTAAATTTCATGTCTACAAAATGTAGATGATCATGCATGATGATTCTGTTTTAATTAGCTGATACTGCAGTTAAGGTCCAATGTGGGAGGTTTTAGCATGATTCACAGTAGATTGATTTTAGAAACTAACTAAGTAGCATCATACGTATATTATGCCCCAGAAAGCTCTGTTTTCATAACAAACTTGCACACGCGGTTAAGTTAAGATTTAAAGAATGTACCGACGGCTTCTGAATTAGGTGATTTCTAAAATAAACAAAAGAGACATTTATTTATCCTCTATTTTTGGGTGCCTAATCACTTGATAATAAGAATAAGAATAAGAATTTTATTAGTTTAAAATCCAAACAATAGGATTGTTACAAGAAAAACATATAAATGATAATACGATAGACAGAAAACAATATAAACATATAGCATTGAAAAAAAAATGTTAATATTTATTACAATACTATTTTTGACCACATGCCTCCTCTATTAAGTTATCATATCAAATATCTTGATTATATATTATATCATAATATTAGTCATGAATCATACACAGTTCATATATCGACATTATAGTTGTTTCTCTCATTATACATTTCACTTATACTGTTAACAATGATAATTAATATATCAAATTCTTCACAAGAAAATATAAAATCAAATTTGTTTTCATTACTCATTGAATTAAAACAGGGGACAATATTTGAAATATCATTAAACATTTTGGTCTTAGGTTTATTAAGTTATGATAAAATGGAATTCATCTTCCACCTCTTTATGGCATAAGGGACATATTCTATTTTCTATGGCTGTTTTATTGTATAAACCACGTTCAATAGCTAGCATGTATTACTTATTCTTATTTTTGCATAATTTTTTGTAATATTTTTATCTAAATTCAATAATAGGTACTTTTCAAGTTCATACTTTACTTTAAATTTTCTGTAGGTTCTTAGTTTATTTCCATTTATTGAATTATCATCACTAAAGAGACATTTTTTCCAAAATATAATGTAATTTTCAATAAGCTTCTTCGTTAGGGCTGAAAGTAGTCGTTTTTAAGAAAAGGTACATTGATTTTTCCAAACATGAGTGAAATTCAAGTTAGATAATAGCATTTTAATTTTTGAAGCAAATCCATCATTTAACTGCTTGTTAACTTTATAAACATTTTATAATAAAGACTCTTTTTTTTCATTTGAGTTTAACATATGTAACCAAAATCCTACCGAAGACTTTAGGTCCTGTATACCAATAGGGTACATTCCCAATTCAGCTAATACAGCTGTACATTTGATTTGGAGTTTTACTGATTCCATTGATAAATATTGAAATTCAAGAGTTTTGTTGTTCTTCACAATATTTAGTGACCATATCTCACTACAATACAGTAATATTGGGCTAACAAAAAAATTAAAAAGTTTCATATGGGAAAAAAACATCCATCTTGTTTGAATAAAGCATTTTTTTAATACAAAACAATGCCGTTAAAGCTAAACAAAGGAGATTTACAGCATTAGTGATGGCTTGAATAATATACCTAAATATTTGTATTCTGTCTGGTTTTTTTCCGAATTATGATTTTTTTATTGCCCCCTTGGTAGTTAAATTCTCCATCTCGTTATGCGTCCATGAACTCCACCATAGGGTAGGAAGGAGCATTGTAACACTGTGTTTTATCTACATGTTCATCATGGTTTTTATTTTTTTATTTTCCCTAGTCCAGATCTTAAAGAAAAGGACTCCTTCAAATATGATTTTATTGGTAGATTTTTGATAAATTTTCTTTCTTTCATATTCTGATGAAATTGTCCTTAGTCAGGACAATCGCTTATTGATTATTGCAACCCTTTTTTTGCATTTGTTCATCGGAAGAATTATGTTTCTAGTAAGTGGTTGAACAACTTGCCATTTCCAATGACCATTTTATAGAGATTATCGTATTATATGAAACTTATTGAAATTATTATTTATATTACTGTATTATTAACGCAATCAACACGCATCTATTTTTATTTGTATGAAAAAGATTTAAAAAAAAACGAAAAAATCTATCCCGCATGTTTACCCTGTAGTAGCCTATTATATAGTCCAAAAGTCTAATCCCAAAGAGGGTTCAGAAACAGATAAAATAGTATGAATACTCTTTAGATTTGAAATAATGTTGTTAAGCTAAACCAATGCATAGATAAAAACTATTCTCAAAGAAGAAAAATGGACAAATTTTATTAAATTTATTTACCTCAGACGGGAAAATTAGAACTATTTAATCATGTTGTCTCAAACTTGTTTTTCAGACGACCATGACGACAATACAAACTGTATGAAAAATTTACCCGCTCCAAAACCAAATTCGAAAGGCGTAAAGCCCAACTCAAAAGCCACTAAACCAAATTCGAAGGCCACTAAACCAAACTCCAAAGGGAAACCAACAAAGCCAAATTCAAAAGCCACTAAGCCAAACTCCAAAGGAAAACCTACAAAGCCAAATTCAAAAGCTACTAAGCCAAACTCCAAAGGAAAACCTACAAAGCCAAATTCAAAAGCTACTAAGCCAAACTCCAAAGGAAAACATTCAAAGCCAAATTCAAAAGCTACTAAGCCAAATTCCAAAGGGAAACATTCAAAGCCAAATTCAAAAGCTTCTAAGCCAAATTCCAAAGGAAAACATTCAAAGCCAAATTCAAAAGCTTCTAAGCCAAACTCCAAAGGGAAACATTCAAAGCCAAATTCAAAAGCTTCTAAGCCAAACTCCAAAGGGAAACATTCAAAGCCAAATTCAAAAGCTTCTAAGCCAAACTCCAAAGGAAAACATTCAAAGCCAAATTCAAAAGCTTCTAAGCCAAACTCCAAAGGGAAACATTCAAAGCCAAATTCAAAAGCTTCTAAGCCAAACTCCAAAGGGAAACATTCAAAGCCAAATTCAAAAGCTACTAAGCCAAACTCGAAAGGAAAACCAACTAAGCCAAATTCAAATGGTAGACCTACGAAACCAGTGCGTCCAAGACCTTCTAAGACATCATCTGCAACTCAAGTTCCACAAACAAGACCACTTGTTACAAATAGGCCACAAACTCAACCGCCTGCAACAAAGCCACCTGCAACCAACGCACCACAAACCCAACCGCCTGCAACAAGACCCCAAGCAACAAACGCGCCACAAACCCAACCGCCTGCAACACACGCACCACAATCCAAACCACAGGTTACAAACGCACCTCAAACCCAACCGCCTGTAACTCAAGCGTCGAAACCAACAAAAGGGAGCGGTGGTTCTTCATGGAACGGAGATTCCTCAAGCATAGAACATGGCGGCAATCGGCCATCATGCCATTCACACAATGGACGTCCATGTTGTAAAAATCATGGTGGACCTGCTATAAATGTTGACGTCCATGTCCATATAGATGGTGGCAATTATGGATTTGGCAACTGTCCAGCTTGCAACAACAATGGTGGTAAATCACAGAAAAATTCTTCTACAAAACAACCAATGGTCAATATGCAAAAAACAGGTAATGTGAATTGATACTATTTCAAGATTATCATGATATAACAAAAAGGTATACGAAACAAAAAATAAATTCAAAGCAGTCTCATTTACAGTATTGCAGATAAATGCCTAATTCAAGTACCTATATCGAGTATCAGTTAAAAAACAAATGTTGATAAAAGTGTTTAATCGCAAATATTATTTTATGACCGGATAAATATAGATGCATATTCAATTTTTTTTTAGCAATTTTACAGATGTTTTTTTTTTTTCTTTTTTCGAATTCTGTTTATTTTATATTTATTGACATTATGACCTATTTTTAGAATTTGGAACATTGCTTCACTCTTAACATTCGAACATTGCTTCACTTTTAATTTACGAACAAACATTGCTTAACTTTTAACTTTTGAACATTGCTTCACTTTTAATTTTCGAACATTTCTTCTCTTTAAATTTTTGAACATTGCTTCAATTTTAATTTTTAATTACGATTATGATTTGGAGATCTAATCTAATTTGTAGGATCAAATATTTTATGTTTGTCTTTTGTGGACTCGTTGATTTATCAGTAGTTGGAGAAATGTTATAATATTTGAACGACGGTGATATGTTAGTTTTGCAAGTGTGTCATCGTCTACAAATGAATTTTCTACTGGAATTTTCACAAAAATACATTTATATAAAAAAAATCCAGGGATATTGCATTTCTTTTTTTTTAGCTTATCTGGCCGGGACTCGGGTGATCTTTAATCATCACTTGGCGTCCGTACACATTTCACATTTTGGATTTTTTTAGAACCCTAATTTTCATATAACCGAACTTCTGCTGTCTGTATGCATTTTATATTATAGCTTTACTTATGAATTATTCATCAAAATGTCAGTGTCAATAATAATTTCATCAATAACTTGCATTACAAAAAAAGAAATCTTTGATTCAGAAAATAGAAAAATTACATGGAGTGACTTTTGCTTCTTTTCAAATTCGGTAATTGGTGTTATAATAACTGAATTTCTACGTTAAAGGAAATTACGGACAAATGTATACCAATCTACAATCTACACTTTCTGCCGATTTGAGCTTCTCAAATTGTTGATTGATTTGAACAGTATCTAAATGTTTATGTTTTGTTAACTTGTTTTGTTGGGTTGCTGTCTCTTTTTTTTAATGGAAAGTGTCCCATGTGAAAAAACATGCGTTGTACATTTCTCACAAATTTCACGTTTTTAACTATTGGAATAAATTTCATGCAAAAATTATTCGAAAACTATGAAATTTACATTATTTTCATGTGCAATTTCAAAGATTTTTTGAAAGTTTGTTCTTGCTAAGTACGCATGTAGAAAAAAGTGTTTTTGCCAAAATTACGATAAAAGTCACATGGACTTTTTTTTGTCAAATATCTCGATTCTGTTTAAAACATTCTGTTGTTTAAAAATGGTGTACGGAATGAAAATAGTATATATATATATTACCCAAACGAAGCAGACAAACTTAGTAATCAAAAGTTGAAATACTTTGACAGAACATATACAGAATACGAACTTGCAAATATCGGTACTCTTTAAAAAATTCAGTTATGTGATGCCATCTACTGTCAATGTTGTTGCCACTGACGCCAGAGACAATGATTTTCTAAATCATTTCTAAAGTAAATCATAATAATGTTCATTGTTTAAAGCCTTCTCATATCTATGTCATTTGGTAATCATATCAATCTCTTCCTCTTCATATCATACCATATTCTTTATTTAATTTACTCCCTTAGACCTTTTGCATAGATATGACAAAGTCAATGTTTACTGTTTGTTTGCCGTGACCTTAATTTTGTACTTTTATATAACAACTTCAAATTGGTTTTTCGTTTGAATACTTCAAGTTCATGTTATAAGTATGTCGAAAATTTAAATTATATTTTTGAATACGACTATAAGTTTTTATCAGACTTTATACTATATTATTTTTTTAACTTGAAGGTTTTCAAAACTAGAACACCAAAGAAAAAAATATATCTACCATCTATTCACAAGAAGCATCAGCACTATTAAAATGTGTATTCAAACAAATTTAAATTTGCTATGAAAGATTATTTTTTCTCCGAATTGCCTAATTTTTGCAAGTATTTATATTTACTGTTCAAAATTTTCACATTAGTAAAATGAAGAATGAGAATAATGGGTGTTCGGGATTTTTACGTGGAGTCTACTTTTTAAACAAAACGAAAGTTTTTGACATCATTCTTTTGCATCAACAAAGTTAAGAATTATCATGTATAACCGCTAATAGGCATTTGTCTTTGTTGTCAGTTGCAACAACGTCCAGTATGTTGAAAGCATTAGTTACTACTGAAAAACCAACAACTGAAAAACCAACGACTGAAAAACCAACGACTATTAAAACACCACCAGCAACTAAAAAACCAACGACTGAAAAACCAACTACAGAAAAGCCGACGACTATTAAAACACCCCCAACAACTGAAAAACCAACAACTGAAAAACCAACAACAATAAAAACACCACCAACTACAACAACAGTTTTACCAACTACAGACCAACCAATAACGTCAACAGCACCAACAACGAATGCTACAAAAACGACAGAACAACCTACAACAATAAAATTGCCACCCACTACAGAACAACCAACAACGACAAAAATGCCACCCACTACAGAACAACCAACAACGACAAGAATGCCACCCACCACAGAACAACCAACAACAACAAGAATGCCACCCACCACAGAACAACCAACAACAACAAGAATGCCACCCACTACAGAACAACCAACAACGACAAAGATACCACCAACTACAGTCCAACCGACAACGACAATTGCTCAATCGACTACTGATAAACCCACAACAGATAAGCCGACTACATCAAAGCCAACTACAGACATTCCAACAACCGATAAACCAACTACTGATAAACCAACAACATCTGTACCAGTAACTTTTATTCAAACAACTATTTTATTTACAAATATTCATACTTCTACAGATCAATCAACTTCTGACAAGCCAACAACTGCCAAACCTACCACAAAAAAACCTACAACTGACCAACCAACCACAGTTCAACCAACTACAGCTAAACCAACAACTGTTCAACCAACTACAGCCAAGCCAACAACTGTTCAACTAACTACAGCTAAACCAACAACTGCTCAACCAACTACAGCTAAGCCAACAACTGCTCAACCAACTACAGCTAAACCAACAACTGCTCAACCAACTACAGCTAAGCCAACAACTGCTCAACCAACTACAGTTAAACCAACAACTGCTCAACCAACATCTGCTCAACCAACTACAGCTAAACCAAAAAGTGCTCAACCAACTATCGTCCCAACTACTCAAAAACCAAGTTTGTATTTTTCTAAGTTTATTAATAAATAGAACTCCATCTTTTGTATTAATCATGACAAGAAAGTACATATTGTATATATGAAATACTTATGATCAATTACATATCTTAGCAATGATAAACAATTATAAATTAACACATTTCAGTAAAAATAATCTTGGATTTACGCGCTTTTGTGCGAGTCAGTAATTGTCTATCTAAACCGACTTTTTACTGGAATATATTTCGTGATTTCATTTTCTAATGTTATTATGCAGCTGCAGTATATTATTCTTCATATTTAGATATTTCGTTTTTTTATATATTGTTGTACTTTAAAATTTTACTCCTACTCGATCTTTGATAGTTCTCTGTCTCATAAAATTATCTTTAATACTTAAGCATGTTGTGCAAGATATATTTGTTTGTGTTTAACAACAACTGCAATACATTCGTTTAATTTCATATCGTCATAGTTAAGGTAACCTGATTTCCCAGGATAGACCACAAATTATAGTAGACCTTGTTAAACCACTAGTATTAACAGGATTAAGTGGTATATGCCGGAGGACTTTGACCTGGGCGCATTACGTTTGTGCGCATTTGAGGATTAACTTTTATTTACGATTGCGCGCAATATTTTATTACATCTCAGCGTTTTAACTTTTCAGGTAACACAGGTAAATATAGATATAAGAATTACATATACGGAAAAGTTTAATTTTTAATACTGAATAAAATGTGTTTAGTATTTTTCTTATTCAGATAAAAAATCTTGATCATTTTATCAAATATATCAAATGATCCTATGAAATTCATTAAAGCTTGAATGTATGTGAATTTCGAATATTAAAAAGTGAACAATATTCCTTGAAGTGAAATAAAATATATAAGTTGAAAAGTCATTTTGGAACGTTGCGTCAAGACATATCTATGCATTTGTGTGGTTTTATTTTACATTATCTTGGAATTTCAACCACATATACCAAAACTTAGGACTTGAAAAACAAGCAGTTATAAGCAGAAGTGAGAGGGTATAAAGGTGTGGGCTTCAAATATTCACCACGGGTACGGTCATGTTAAATCAGTACTTTCTACTCTTGAGATTTTGCTATGCTTGAATAGGCATTTTAGATTTTATGGGACTAGTTTTATATAAATGAATATGATTTACCTGTGTTTACCTGTAAAATGAGCGCAAATGTCATGATGTTTACGCGCAAATGTAATGCAACGTTTGACCTAATTGTTACTCCTTTTGAATTTTGATAATTTTTACTTATTTTAACAATAAACTTCAAAAGAGATAAAATTAGAAAAATATATGTATGAAAAATAACCTGGTTGAACATCGAAATGTATAATTTTCCTTTTTTACTAGGTTTTACTTGCTATACCTGTAAGGATCAAGAATGCCAAGACCAAAAACTCACAAGTTGTTCCTCTGGCTCAGAATATTGCATGACGACCATTCAGCAAGATAAAAATGGCAAAAGAATATTTACAAAAGGGTATGTATATCAAGTAGTAAGACTTAATCATGATACTTTTAAATTATAGATTGATATATAATGCACACATGGGCGGATCCAGAAATTTCTCAACCAATACGAACTTTCAAAAGGTTTATTTTTTATGCCCCACCTGGGTGCATCATATTTTTCGGTCTGTTCGTCCGTCCGTCCGTTCGTCCGTCTGTCCCGCTTCAGGTTAAAGTTTTTGGTTGCTTCAGGTTAAAGTTTTTGGTCAAGGTAGTTTTTGATGAAGTTGAAGTCCAATCAACTTGAAACTTAGTACACATGTTCCCTATGATATGATCTTCCTAATATTAATGCCAAATTAGAGTTTTTACCTCAATTTCACGGTCCACTGAACCTAGAAAAATGATAGTGCGAGTGGGGCATCCGTGTACTATGGACACATTCTTGTTTATGGTTAATCACGGTCATGAAGGTTGTAACAAAGCAAATGGTAACCCTTGGTTTACAAAATTGATTCCAATTTCATTTTTCTTTGATATGTGCGAGCAAAAATGTAACCGAGGCCATGTTAGTCTTGGTGTAAATTGCATTTAGCACGTGCAAACCCAAAAGTTTGACGTGACAGGGTTATAGAAAAATGGTTCCACTGGTACATTTTATAACAAATAAAAGACATGACAGGTGGATTTTGTAACACATAAAAGACATAACAGGTGCATTTTGTAACACATAAAAGACATGACAGGTGCATTTTTCTAGAGTCATTTTGTATACGTTGTACATAAAACAGAAAAAATAACTGGCCAATTATAATTGTCAAAAATGAATCAATTTATATTACTACATATACATCCGTATTTTAATGGTCCAAATACATATTAAGCATCTCACTGCCAGTATGAAAATAAGGAAATGTGGTATGATTGCCAATGAGACAACTATCAACCAGAGTCCAAATGACGTGGAAGTAAGCAACTATAATAATATGTCACCGTACGGCCTTCAACAATGAGCTTTTAGTCAGCTATAAAATGTCCCAGTATTACAAAATGTGAAACAATTCAAACGAGAAGCCAACGACTTAATTTATTCCAAACCAATAAACGAAAAACATATATGACAGACAGCAACCAAAGACAACCACTGAATTATCAGGCTGGTTATACATTATGTTTTAACTCTGATCATGAAATAGTTAAGGTGAAAATAAGATGATAGGACGGTGTGCTCTTGTATTCTAGAAAATACAATGTATGTACAATGTACCTGTCTTTCTCAGTACTGCAGCCTGAATAAAATATTTGCTGATGAAAACATTATTATACTAAATAATGATAATGAAAGAAATTTATATTTATATACTCGGCTTTCAAATATTCGATTATGAGCGTTCCTGATGAAGTAAAATCTAGAAAAGCTCTTCGGATGTATGAAATTTATATTGTGTTGTTTTTCATTTTGTTTATGTACTGTTAGTGTATTTGTCCTTATCTTTGTATTTTACAAGATGTGTAACAGAAAGCGTTTGTAAGAATAAATGGTGGTTAGCTACTGCACCTAATCCCGATTGTCTACTTAACATGGATGATGGACCTACTGGCTTACCAAACCAAGCAATGACCTGTAGTTTCTGTTGTGTCACCAAAGAATGTAACGAACACGCAGTTCCGGAATTTTCAACATTTTACACCTCTACAAGAAGGCGATAGGCAGTGATAAAATATACACTAAATTATTTAATTTCAAGTGACTGTTTATATTGTCTTCTTAATCACGTGATTGATGAAATTGCTCAAAATGGAATTGAACAACTAACAACAAATGATACGAATACCTCCAATGTAGACATTTTAACCCTTTTGATAACTATATATGAGACTTATTCAACACCCATGTACAAATATATATTCGCTATATAAAGGAGATTAAAATTAAGAAAACAAAACTAATTTGATTTTCTGTTGTACCCTGTACAAGGAGAAATATTGTTCTCCAATACACGACAACTTTATGTAAATATTGTGTTTCTCGTGACTCTAAAAATGGTTGGTATTTGGATTTTAGATCTATTTTATACAAATTATAGCCTAAGAACAAAAAAAATGTTCGCGTAAAATTTTTTTTTTAAAATAAAGAAAAAATGTCGTGTTATGTTGCGATTTTAACAACTTTCTTTGTCCTGTTGTGAACAACTTAGTACATATCCGGTATTTAATAGTGGAAAAGTTAAATTAAGTTTTATCCATGCGGTGACCTACATTTACTACGTGGCATTTCAAAGGTTTCGAAGGCTGAAACTGCTGATATTTATGACCGATGCACTAGAAAACGTTTGTTCCAGAAAGTTAGAGACAGTTGCAATTTTTGTTTGCTATGGTATTCAAATACAGTAACAATTTTATCAAAATAAAGATTTTGTGTCCAATTTTTGCTTACAAGGATCCGACAACGCTTTGTTTTACTTTTTTCTGGTAATTATTACATCAGCCAATGAAATTTCAGCCTTCAAGTTTTTGAAAGTATGTATCAATCCGACAAAACCAGAGGATCCCGAAAAAGTTTTTGAAACCGAAAGTAGAACGGAGCGTTTTCAGATCCTTGTAAGGAAAGTTTGGACACAGGATGTGCATTTTATTCAGATTGACTCAAATAGGAAATCGTACTAATGATAAAACATTGTTTTAAACTCGTATTGATGGAATGGTTATTTTAGTGTTTTTTTTGTGAAAACACATCTGTTTATTTTAGATGGTATTTTATTGTAACATTTATATAATAGATAATATCTACAAACGGCAACACAATTATCTTAAAAGAAAACAGCGCAGACTATTGCACCATTAAATTTTTTCCCTTCCTCTTATATATGCATGACTATGACCAACATAATTACATCTTGAGGCACTACTTTAGCACTCTACGACAGGCGTAAAATCGAAGGAAATTATGTTCATCTTCAAAATAAGACCAAAATCAGCCGTGAAGTATGTCAAACCCATACTGCATAGCAATCTATAATGATGTTTATCTCACATCTTCTTTTATATACGTCCCTGCGTATACAGTTATTAATACAATACAATATTGACTACACTATATATCTATTTGACATATATATATGTTAAATTTTAGAATTCACCCTTCTTATCACCATACTAATTATTAAAATTATAGATTTTAAAAACCTCGCCTGGACTTTGCGCACTAACATATATATGTCGAATGGATATATAGCGTAGTCAATATTGTATTGTGAATAATAACATAATAAGTTTATCAGTTGAGTAAAGGGGTAGAATTTGTTTCTATAATGATCAACACAAACTCAAAGTATTGGAGAGAAAATCACACGAAACACGTATGTATTGATTTCATATGAAATTCTAGAAAAAAAGTAATTTCTAGAAAATTCGGTATGGAATATAGTTTGAGTAGAAATTTTTCCTTTCCTCCAAAAAATTTTCCACTGAAAATGAATCAGTATGGAGTAGATTTTATATTTGTTTCTCCGATGAAATGGTTAAGCTATTATTTTCCTCAAAGAAAACTAATACCTTTGGGCAAATAGATATTTGATTTGAGAAAAAATTGAAAGTATCATTCACCAACAGAAAATGGCTTAGGGGAAAATTTTAACAACCGGCATTTCAATCAGGTATGGGCAGTGAAACTCGTAAAACAAATCATTATGTTTTGTTTTACGATAAAAATCCCAGATCACAAAGCTTTCTTTGAAATTCTATGTAAATGGCAGTACTAACAGCTGTGTGGCTATACGGTGCGCAGTCACTCGAAGAAGAAACAAAATCAAGAAATGACAACAAACAAAATACAAATGTTTTATAACAATTTAAACTGAATTAGAGATAAAAAATACATTGATTGAAAGACTGAAATATTTACATTTAAAATTCTAAAGAGGAAACTACAATAAGAAATTAACTGTAAATTCCATATTATCATAGGCATTATCATTATTGTTTTTCTTTTACTTATGAACTTTTGTAATCATATGTAACATGCCCTTTATGTGTCGATAATTGTTTTGATAAAGTATTTGTATTCGAATTCGTATACCTACAATATAAAATAAGCAGGTGTAACATGATCGCTGATGAGACAACTATTCAACAGAGTCCAATAATATGGATTGAAGCAACTATGAATGTATTTGTATTGTTATTTATTCACGTTTTTATCACATAAGCTCAAAAACGAGTTCGATCGTGGAGCCCTCTTTTTTCAAATGACATTCGGCTTTATTATGTATGATGATTAATTGTACCATTTTTTTATAAACAAATCACCGATGCATTTTTAAAAAATAAAATAGATATACGGCAGCAAAAAATGCCGTTTTTTCTTTCTAAAATCATGAAAATTTAATGAATTGAATTATTTCCAAAGAATTGATGCAAATATTTAGAGCATACTTATGTAAAGAAAATATTCTAAATGTTTTTTTTTTTAAATCCGCTTGTGTTTATCTTGAAACAAAAATTAGGTAGATAGAAAAATCAAAGAAACCGAAATTTCGAGTAAATGTCTAAAATTTCGACCCCAATTATCTCTAAAAGTAGTTAATGAAGGAACCTTTTTTTTACAACATATTTTGATTCACTAGGTGAAAATAGCTAGAGTACGAACTTTCGTAAAAACAAATCACAGTGGGATCAAAACTGTATCGTATGCCCTTAAATTGATGCGTTACAATCAGTAGATGTTATGCAATTAGTACTGTATTCGATTTATATCAACATCACTTCAACATACCATTTTCAATAATTTCATATAAAAATTTAAACATGTTGAGCTGTTTGAATGAACAACTAACGATAATGACAAATTGGTCGCCGTAGTCTATAAATATATCAAGACACAGAGAGTGTTCAGTGATAATTCATGTAAATGTTGTGCAAAGCCTCAGCTGCTATAAAAAAACAGTATGAAAATAATCAATATATGTGAAAGTTATTTTCTTAGAAATGAATACATTATGTTTAGGGATTTTACCAACTGAATATATAATATCAACAATTGTATACATAATGGTAATAATCAAAATATAATTAACCTAACTGGATACACGAATAAGTTAATTTTTCCAAATTTTCTGTCCATGCGTTCATCTTTGCTTTTTTTAACAGCAACATACCTGATGCCTAAAAAGATGACTTGTGTAGAAAATTATAACCGGGTCTAAAATTGTCTGAATTAATATTGTTGTCCAACTGATCTGATATAATGTTTCAAAGTAGTCTGGTCTGCCAGAATTAATAAGTATGAAAATAAACAACGGAAGATGTGATCCCACGTGAACAGAAACCAATAGACATATTGCCTTGTATGCCTGTATTTTTTTCTTAAAAGCACGCTGTACGGACGTTGGAGGGCATGGCAGCCCGTTCAGTGGTCGTCCGTTTAAAACATGTGTCTCCAATCCTATTGTTTTAAGAGTTTTTTTTATCCTATAAAGTGTAGCAAAACAAAATGGGATCGCCGCTATGAATATGCATGAAAGTGTCCATACTCCTTGTAGTTGTGCGACAGCTATTTGAAGGCTCGTTACAAGACAGTTCGTATTATCCGTGTTCCCAAAGTAAACGGATGACGAACACACACTTATCCCAAGGACTACATCAAAGGTTAACACAAAATATCCCATAATCACACGACGTTTCTGTAATAAACTTGTAGTCAATGGAAACGACGCTTGAAATCTATCGGCGGCTATAACTGCAAGTTGGAACGACGAGGCAGCGTATGTGAAGGCTGCAATAGAGTCAAGTATAATACAGTGGTATTTTGTTCCATTGATTTTGGCCAAAGCGGTCATGAAATCCGAAGCATAGGTTGCCACCAATATTGCATGAAGTCCGCTAATAGTGAACACAAATCTATAATACAAACTGCCATAGAGTTCTTTCGTTTTTATGAAGATACAGAAAGTAGCGACGTTTTCTAACAATGAAATTATTGAAAAAGGAAAATTTATCCAGTTAATAACAGAAATATTATTGTTAGAAAATTCCTCATAACTGTTTTCAGAAGTATTCAAAGTAACCAACATGTTTAGTCGTTCATATATTAAACAGTAAGTGACGATTATCGGAAAAATAACATATATCTTTAACACAATGTGACAACTAATAATTAGAATCCTATACCTATATGATGGAATAAGGAGGTGTAGCACGATTGCTAATGATGTAACTATTCAACAAAGTCTAATGACGTGGATTGAAGCAATTATGAATGTGTTTGTATTGTTATTGAATTCCGTTTTTTCCCTCGCAGCCGTATTCGAGTAAACAGATTTAATTGAACGTGCTTTTGAACTCGGAAGAAACACGAGGCTTCGTTAAATTTTCGCTTGTTTTATAACGAGTACAAAATTATTTCAATTTTAGACACCTACCGCTAGGGGAAAATATAGGAATAAACCTGCTCTTATTCAAGACCTTAAAGGGGTCCTTAAAGGGGCATTAGCTACGATTGTTTTTGTTTCAAACATTAATAAAAGAGGAATATTTAAATATTAATTCGCTATTAGCAGTCGGTTTGGTTTAATTTGGCAAATATAAGCTTACAAGTCAATAATTCAACCATTTGAATTCGTATTCATGCGACCTTTATTTTAACTATACGCTGGAGATGAGTTGCGCAACGCATGTGCTAAGAATGTGTAACAAATGTCAACATTCAAAATTGAAACAAGGGAGCCAACAATGGCATGGTATTGGTTGCAAAAATTTGAAATTTTTCATTTAAATGCAATATTTTTATTTTAATTGGTATATTTCTTCATTTAAATGCAATATTTTTTATTTGAATGGTATAATTTTTCATTTGAATGCAATATTTTTTATTCAAATGGTATAATTTGTCATTCAAATGCATTTTTTTTATTTGAATGGTATGTTTTTTTCATTTAAATGCAATATT